GCCATTTTTCAATGGCTTTTGAGCTTAGACCATCCTCTCTGCCTGTAGATCCATATTTTTTGTCCTGATTTGTGTCAGCACTTACATTTGGCTCCTTAACACCCTGGCAGTGTATTTGCCTCTGTGGGGTGAGGGCATCTTCCTCTGCTGAGGTGCAGACACCCGACACCTGGTGACACGTTCGGGTTTTCAGTAGGTTCTGCACGTTAGAGGCTCAGCCAAACTGGTCTGATGAGTTGCGTCAATTCTGCTGCTTTGCAAGTTGCCGCCTGCACACCTGGAAGCATTGTTCTCGGCGCTCTCTGCCTTACCGGAGCTGGGGAGGCTTTTTTTAAGAAGTCATTTTTGGTGCATTACATCCCCCCCTTTTTAAAAAAAATTCTCACCCAAGGACGTGTTTGTTGATTTTAGAGAGAGAAAGAGAGAGAAGCATTGATGAGAGAGAAACATTGATTGGCTGCTTCCCATACGTGCCCCAACCAGGGATCGAACCCACAAGCTTTTGATTTGTGGGACCACACTCAGCCAGCTGGGCCCCCTGCCGGGGCGTGTGCTGTGTCTCCTGACTACATCTGAGCCATCGGCTTTCACAGTGAATGGTGGGCCTAGTGGTAACATTAAAGATGCCCTTTATGTCTTCTTCTTTTCTGTTTTTCGTTTGTTTGGCTTTAAAACAACAGCAAGTCATTGTTTCACAGTTCTGAAGGCCTGAGGTCACCCTGCTGGCAGGGTCGGCCACTGCTGGAGGCTCTGAGGGAGAATCTGCTCCCCCCACCCCCATCTGAGCGTCTGGTGGTTGTCAGCCGTCTTTGTGCTCCTTGGCCTGTGGTGGCATCACTTCAGTCTTCGCCTCCTTCATCTTCTATTGCTGCCTTTATTCCGTGCGTGACCCTGGGTCTCTCGTTCTAAGGACACCAGTCAGTGAATCAGAGCCTGCACACTCCAGTACGACTGCATATCGACTCAGTACATCTGGAAAGTTCTCTTTCCAGATGGGGTCCCATTCCGATGCTGCTGGTGCCCGTGGATTTGGGAGGAATGCTGTTCAACCCGGTACGGGGAGGAATCAAAGTCCGACTCTTTATTACGCAGATCCTCTGTTTTCTGTCTCGCCTCCTGATCTCAGACGTACCTGTGCATTTGGTTCCTGAGTCCTTCGGGGCCTGGTTCTGCTTGCTCTGGTCTCTCCAGTCCTGCAGGCGCAGCTTCCACTTTCTCTGTTCTGCTCAGTGAGGGACCTTTCATGGCAGCTATACGGTCATCGTGGGCACGATCTGGGGCCAGATCATCCGGGTTTAAATCCTGGTTCTGCGGCTGTGTTACCTCACACAAGTGACTTAACCTCTCTGTGCCTCGGTCTGCTTATTTGTAAAAGGGGGTTGATAAGAAGAGTACCTACCGCATGCAGTTATTTTGAGGAGTAGGGGGAATGCTTAGGATGGCGTCTGGGATGAAGACTTTGTGGCGACTCTTGGCTCCTTCACGTCGAGGTTCGGACGTGTCGTGGCAGTTTCTCCTCTGGTTGCCTTTGTCCCTGTGTGTTTTCAGAGGCCTCGTTCACCTTGGACTGCAAACTTCCCCATTTTCTTCTCAAACTTTGCTAGAAGTTCAGAAGGGGTGTGACATTTGGGGCAGTTATGACTAGTGTATGGCTTACATTGCTGTCCGGTTTGAACATTAGGAAAAGGGGCTTTGACATGTGTGTTAGACCATAATATTCGAGCATGATGTTTGCCAAGAGTTAGAGATGATTATGAGAGACTTTTGTGGTATCAGATCAAACAAAATGCGACAGATCAGGAAATTTTATCACACAGATCCATGTATAAGAGTTTTTAAATGTTTTGTCATTTTTCCTCTGAGAGTGTCAGGAAGAAATTGAAGCAATGTCTTCAGTTCTTCAGTACTGATAGACACTAGGCAACCGCATTAGGTTTATTTTTCGGTTCATAAGGTTTTTAACTGTCATTTTGCAGTGAAGATTTTTAAAGTTTACTCAGAGAACTTAAAGTGTGAGAGGCATTGGTCAAAGAAACACAAATCTTATAAAGCCGGATTCCAAAGAAAGAAACAAGGCTTTAATACAAGGCCTAAGATACACAAAATCCAGGAGCTCCTATAATTTTAGTCAATAGCCAGCACACTGGTCCTCTTACCCCCTGGTTGTTTTTTTTTTTTTTTTTTTTTCTGTTTGGCATAGAGGTGCCCGGGGGAAAAAGAGTGTAATCCACAAAAGAACACCAGGTGCTCTGGGCAAGACCATTTGGTTCTTGGGCAGATGTGATTCAAACTCCTTGTAGTGGTCAGAGAGGGTACTTTCTCCTCGGATACTTGCTCATGACTCTGAAAGGCTGATTGTTCATGTCTGTCTCTGTTATGTGGCGGACATATTTCCAACTTGATGGTATTCCAGGATGGAAAACCCCCTGTAGAAGCCGTTTGTCAGCGTCTCCAGGACCTCCACGGCACTGTGGCTGGTTCCATCCCTCTCTGCCCGGTCCAGCCAGGTCACATTGGACTTAAGGTACCAGCCCTTGGTGATGCACGTGGCCACGTCCTCATCATCAGGCCTGTGAAGCTGTACCTGGGGCCTTTCTGAGTCTTCTGCTATTAACTAAATTGTACTTTCGCATCTTCCACGTGGTGTGATGGCTGAGCACTCACAGTTTCATCCATGAAGTTCACATTTCTTAGTAAAAGTGAGGCCGTCCCCTCAGAAATTTCAGCCCGATCCTCAGAGCTTCTTCCCTCCTACGGGCAGTTCTGGTTCTCTAGTTGCTCTCATATTCCTCTTGGATGTCTTCTCATCCCCGAGAAAACAAGGTTTTCCGTGCCCTCCACAAAGGAGAGACGGCAGATGGGGGCAGTGAACACCCAGTGAAAGGGCAGCCTGGGACTCTTCCCTGGACCCGCGCCACGGCCAAGCAGCAGCGTGTTGGCAGTGGGCAGAAAGAAAGACCTTCTGTGTTACAGCTGGTCCCTCTGATCAGCCAGGTGAGAAGCAGGTGGGGCGGAGTCAGGCAGGTCTTCAAAGGGACCCTTGTGTGGCCATCTCCAGGGTCTTCTTGGTGATTCTGTTGTTACCAGACTGTTGCAGCCAAAGTGCAGTGCTCCGTGAAACTTAGTATTTCTAATGGCTGTAGTTTTTGGCCAAAAAACCTTGTTTGCAAGGAAACCTAGACAGAGTAGCAAGGTGGCCCTGGACTTGGGGGGCGGGTTACCAGATGAGGACCATGTAAAGCATGGCAGGGTTCAGAGAGCAGTGACCTGTGTTAGTTTTGAAAGCAGTGTGAACGTGTCCTTATCTTGCTGTGGAAGAGGGTTGCTAATAATAATGTGTTAGGGAAGCAAAGTCCATGCTATTTCCAGGACCAGAATGTTTGTGGGGCCTTCGAGGGCGAAAAGCTGTGAGGCTAGATTTGCTTCTTTCATAGGAATTGTCTCCTTGTCTGGTTTGGACAATTGATTTAAAAGAACATCTGGCAAAAGTGTAAATTTAGGACTAAAATCAACCCAGTTTTTGAGTTGATGTTCACTTTCATTATTAATCAGCCTTAAACAATTGATTATTATTCAACAAAGCCAGGAGTGTTAGTAGACTTGCAAGTTTAGGGACAAAACCGGGGATGTGTTTGGAAGACAGGCAGTAGGATAAATAATGTGGATTTGAGGTCTGGCGGTAAAGGCAAGGCAGGCCTCAGTCCTGAACGCCTGGCTTTGGGACCCACCTGCAAAGGGAGGCTCTGTGACCGCAAGCACAGTGCTGCGGCTTCACGACCAGCAGACCTCAGTGTGTTCCCCGCAAATTACTTGCTGTCTTCGGTCCTCTCCATTAAATGAAGAAATGAAGTCGGCTACCCAGAAATGAAGTCGGCTTTAAAACAGAGTGCCTAGATAGACAGGTGTAGACGTACACAGGTAGGTTGATCCATTCATCCCTCTTACCCTTTCATCTTGGTTCCTTGGCTCTACCTGAAAAACTTCCCTTGAGACTTTATTAGAGTGCACTACGAAATCTGTAAAACAATGAAGGTTTCGGTCCTGTAATATACCAAGACCTGCCAAGTGTAACCTCTACAAAACATTTTATGTAATTAACTCTTACAGACCAGGAGAGTCCGGGAGATAGTTCTCAGAACACCTGAATATGAGAGAAGGACTCTTCTGCTTTACTTTCCTGAATTTGATGGACAGATTTCTCTGGAAAGTACTTGTTCCCTTTAGGAGAGGAAGTACGAGATTTCCCAGGAGAAAGTGGCAGTGGTCACGTGATCATGGTGGGGAGGGTGGGGCTGACGCTGCCTCAAAGGCCAACTCATAGATTCCTTTTGGTAAGTTTGGATTCATTCATTCATTCATTCCAGACACAAGAGGGAGAAATAGGCCTTGAGTCCAGAAAACCAGCAGTTAAAGACAAGTTATCAAAAAACACTTTCAAATTTAAATTTGAATTAGGCTGGAAAACGAAGCATTGTAACTGGAGTATAGGTATAAAATGTGATTCATTGTTCCCCAGCCAGGCATTAAGAGTCTAGTAAAGGATTAATGAAGGAATTTAGTATTTAACAGTTTAATTGTTTTGGTAAAAAGCATATAAGCTAAGTCTGAGGGACGGCTGCGAGCTCCAGCCGTCTCAGGTGCCCTGGTGACCTACATGATGCAGCACAAAGGCCACACTCCCAGGAGACCCGTAAACACTAACAGGCAGAGGGCCAATGAAGTGGCGGCGCTCGGATGTCGTGCGGCCCTGCGTTCCGTCCCGCATTAGCCTGTGTGTGACGGCCTAACACTCGCATCTGGCTTCGCTGGGGGAGCCCTTCCTGGGGAACTTACCTTAGGTGGGAAGTGTCGCTGGGTTTTTCCCTGCCCTCTCCCCCCATGGGTCCCACTGTGCTTCTCAGGAATGATGGCTGGTTCTTTTGCCTTATCATTCTTCATTTGCTTTCCCCTAGTCACGTTGGTGATTGTTAATGTAATGTAAATGTCTTTCTTCTTTTCAGTCCTCCTCGCCCTCTGGCCAACATGAATGACACCGTGGTGAGCCACATGTCCTCCGGAGCGCCCACTCCTACCAAGAGGTACGTGTCATGGCTCGCGCCCCTGTTGCCATGCAGATTTGGGGACAGGCGTCTGGCTGGGAAGCAGAGCATTCCACAGGGCGGAAAGGACTGGCTTGCTTTCTCCTCCTTTGACTCTCTTTTAATATTATTTTCTACTTTTTGCTTATTTATTTTCCTGCTTACCCCTAAATATACCCGCTGAAGGAGTCTGTTTTGAGTGGTGCCTTGAGGTGGAAACTCCGCATTTGTGACAGGCAGCGAACACAATGTCAAAACAGATGAGGCATGTTTGAGATCTTTTTTGAACATTAAAAACATTTTGATAATCATGAATTTCAACACTCTTTCACTGGGGTTCTTTGAGTGTCAAAGGTGGATCCTGTGTCCTGATGAGACTATGTAAAGTAACTCTTCACGTTCTCCTGGGTCGTTCTGTAGATGATTCACAAACATTGAAGCTGAAAGGCACAGGTCCCTCTCCTAGCTGTACAAGTAGTTTCCTTTATGGGCCTTCGAGGAACTAGAACTGTGTGTCTCCTTTCTCTTTAATTAATTTACTTTGCTCCAAAATTCTCATGGGCAGAACTTAAAAGAACTATATTACAGGGTTCGCTTTTGATTGGATTTAAGCTGTTCCCTGACCAGAGCAATGCAGAAACTTTCTCAGGGGCACAGCCATTAAAGAATTCTTTCTCATACTCATCACTCAGAAAGGAAATGACAACAAAAGCATTTCAACCCACTCCCCAGGTCCTTCCCGCAGGAAGTCACTTTGTGCCACAAGGTACTGATTGCTTTGGATTGATTCAGCCACAGAAATATTATCTGGTTACTAATACTTCGACTTAATATGTAATATACAGCAGATCCTCAAATGGCATTGCTTCATTCAATGTCGTTTCATTATATTGCTGGTGGGATGCCCTCGGAACTTGTCTTGTTTATATCCATTAGCCTCTGGTGAAGTTGGTTTCACTGTCCATCATTTTGCCACCATTCCAAAAACCTACTCACAACACTACGTGAGTACTTACTGTACAATACGAAGATCAACTCTTAGTTCCCATCGGCTAAAACTCCCAGAGCGTGTTTCCCAAATTTGGCTGATGCAAACAATCACCTGGGTGACTTACTAAAGATACATCCAACTGGGACCACATCAGTGGAGACTCCAGACCCTGGCCTGGTGAGAGCGCTTGCCCACCGCCTTGTTGAAACACTGTGGGCGGGGGGTGGCCACGTGGCGTCTGGTGGGCGAAATGAGCAGTGCCGTGCACTAGAGCGTAGACCTTCTGTTGTTTTACATTCTCAACATATGTATTTAATTATTTTTCTCTTTTCTAAGTTGACTTTATCGGGGATGACATTGGTTAATAAAACTGTTCAGGTTTCACGGGTACAGCTCTGTAACGTGTCATCTGCCCGCTGCATCATGCGAGAGCGGCGATTTTTGACCACTGAGCTGCAAGGATTTTTAAGACATGCAGTGACTGACTGTTTAGTCGGGGACACCGACCTCTTTTCCCTTAGATTGTCAAACAAAAAGATGACAGGAAGTCTGTGGACATTTCATGTAACTATGGCAATAACAAAAACCTTCAGTATAAAACTTTTTGCTTTGGGCATTTGGTTGGTGTATTTGTATCAACTCTTAACTTCAGGTATTAAAATTTAACTTTAAAAAGCACAAACCCAGTTAAGCAAGATGAAAACATTATAATTAACACTACTATACTGTACCCTTAGAAATGTAAGGGGATAGTTCTCATGTTATGTGTTCTCACGCAAGTAAAGAAGTGGGAGAAGGCACAAACCCACAAAGGCAGAGCAGAACGGGAAGGGGAGAAGGGCCCATGGGTCACAGGGGCAGCCGAACTGCCCCAGGATGCCCTGCGTCGCTGGCTTCCTCAGTCCTCCTTCCCTTGTACTGCGGGGACAGCTACTTCTCAGTACTGCCGACGCCTCAGACACACATGCAGCGCCTGTCACTCGAGATGCCGTGCTTCTCCCATGGATGAGAAAGCTCCAAGGATCGTGCGAGTGCCCATCCTGGTATGTGTGCGATGAGTTTACCGCTAAGAACAGAAGAGAGCGATCCTGGGAAAGAAAAATAATGCAGATTGTGGGCAGACCACTGTTTTGCTACTCAGCACACAAATGTGTACGAAAGTATGCACAAGGCCCACACGAACAAGCCCGCACACACTTCCCATACACACTGACATTTCCAGAGTTTGCCTTCTCCGCGTAGCACAGCCCTCTGTGTACAAGTGCGAATGCATCAGGCCTTTCCCAGGAGTGTCCTCTACCGCCCGCAGGCAGCACGGGGCCCCAGACAGCTAGATGACGTCTGTTCGTCCAGGTGAGGGCCAGGGAGGCCACTAACTCTGAATAGTCACTGATTGCGAGGAATCTTCAGAAAAGGCAGAATGTTATCCGTTGGATTTTTTTTATGTTACTTTAACACCAGCTTCACAAGAAGGAAAAGCAGTTTTTAAAGGCCAGAAGATCTCACTGTAAAAATATTATTTTTGACCAAATTAGGAGACGTAATAGTATTAAAAAGGCTTTCTGCTTGGGTGCCAGGTGAATAGTTTATCTTGTTATGGGCAGACCTCAGTGAAGTGACAAAAGCCACAAGCTGCTGTTTTTAGACTGAGAACAGGGGAGATCTTGGGGAAACCAAGAAAGGAGGCGAAGTGGAATCAGCTGAGCCAGAAGCTGTCCATTTCTGGAGTTACGCCACTGATTCTCATCCTTCCTGTGAAATAAGAAAACCAGAATTTGGTTGAAAAGCCCAGTAACGAAGGTTTCAGCATGGTCATGGAACAACTAGGTCGTGTGGATTCGTGAGAATTTCTCCATGGCAACACAGGGATTCTTTTTTCCCTCCAGTATTTTTTTGAAAGACAAGAAAGCAGAGTAATTGAAAATTAACACATGACTCATATGGAACGGCAGGGTCCTCGCTGCCGGCTGGGGTCCAGAGTCCATCCTATAGCCTGGGCAGACCTCCAGCTTTTAACTGCTCCTGGGTTGGGATTAAAGTCCGTTTCCATTCATGCATTTAAGGTAAACCCACCAGCAGTTCTAACTCAGGTTGATACAAACAAAAACAAGCTCCTGTATATTTATAATTTACATATACAGTAACATACAGATTTTGTCAAAAAGGGAAAGTTTAAATTCAAAAAGTAAATCTGGAGATTGGGTACAGTTTTGAATGTGAGTAGGAAATACGTGGACACTTAATTTCTTCAGCTACCATAGGCTGCAGGGATAATGCTTTTCCTCTTGGCTCAGACCCCTAATTACCTGGCAGACAACACCGGTTCTGAATAGCAGTCCTCACATGAAGCTGGCAGAGCTCAGTGGATTGCTGCTTCTGTCGTGCTCGCCCCGTCTCTGTTCTGCCGTCCCCTGGTCAGGCCTCCACTTCCCACTACTCTGCCAAAGCCGTTTCTGTCCAGGAGACCGGTGACTTCCTCAGTGTGAATCCGGTGGGGAAGGCTCAGGGCTTATCTTGCTTGATCTATCAGCGGCAGTTGATGTAGAGGATCACTTTCTTCTACTTGAAACACTGTCTGCCCTCGCCCCCAGGTAGTGTGCCCTTCTGGTTTTCCTCTTACCCCTTCTCGGCTTCCTTTGCTGGCTTTTTCATACTTCTTTGAACTCTACACATTAGTGTACCGGAGGGACCACTTCTCACTTTTGTCTGCACTCGCTCACGGCAGGGCATCCCATCTAGACCCACAGCTTTAACACTGTCTACATACTGGCGACTTCCAAACTTATTTTTCTGGCCCCGACCTTTTCCCGTATGCGCTTCTCCTAGTCAGTATTTTCACTTGGCTATTTCATACATATCTCACAATTAGCATGTTTCAGGCCGAGTACTGTATCTTTCCCCGCCGAACCTACTTCTCCCAGGTCTTCCCCTGCCTCAGTTAATAGCAGTTCTAGTTGCTTAGTCAGAATCTTTGATCCTTGTCCCATCTAATCTTTCAGATTATTAGATTAGCTTCATCCAAAAATACCATCAAAATATGTTCAAGATCTTGCTCTTTCTTACCACTTCTGCTACTACTATTTTCCTAACTGCTTTTGTCTCTCATCTGGAATGATGCAGCAGTCTTCCTACTAGCTGCTTCTTCCCCTGCTGTCTGGCACTTTATCTTCAAATTAGCCTTTTACAATATAAGCTGCATCATAGCTCACCTCTGCTCAAAGTCCTCCAGTAACACTGCACCTTAGAGTAAAAACTAAAACCCTTACAGTGGCCTGCCTAACGGGTTATACAGCACTACTTCTCAATGCCTGCCTTAAGCAGTTTTGCTTTAATTTCTAGTTTGAAGTGGATCAGTACTTTACAAAAGTATGATAAGAATGAGCTACTATAAAGAGAACTTTCACTCTGGTCCTGATGAAGTAACTGGCATCAGGTTAACTCTTCCACTATAAACTGCTAGCAGACCAGTCTGAATATAACAACTGTTTTCAGAAATCAGAAGGTAAATAAGGCAGGACTGATCTCTGAGGGATGAGAAACAAATGAGGAGATTGCTCTGATTGTCCAGGCTTTCTGCTGAGAGGCATTTGCCCAGCTCCAGCGTGGGGTGTAAGTAGAGCAAGGCAGTCTTGCTGAGAATTAGGAGACAGAGGTTGGAGTGTGGGGAGGCAGGAGTTTATGGAGCAGATTACCGGAGTGTAGGAAGTGTGCAGAGAAAGAGCTCCATAAATCTGCATAGAGGACTCTTGAGTCTTTGGATGAAAACTAAGCTATATTTGCATGGAATGAGATTTCACAAGACCAGCAAAGAACAACTACCTGGGAAATTACAGCCCCTGAGGAATCTAAAAGTGCAATAAATACCTGGGATTACTCAGTGGTTGAGTTTCAGCCAGCATGGTAGAGAGATGTCATTGAATGCTTGAGGCATTCAGTAAAGACCCAGAGAGTCCTAGAAGCAGGACAAAAATAGTCCTAGATAAAGGTTACCCTGGATCTGCACTGATGAAACTTAAATCCAAGCCTCATAAGGATCCAGCTGTCCACAAGTAAATTAACTAACAGATTCTTTGGAGGAAGACATCAGAATCCAGACATTCAAAAAATTTTTAAAATTTTAATCTATACATTCAACAACATAATAGTCACAATTTCCATCATCCAGTAAAAAATTAGAAGGCGTAGGAAGAAGCAGGAAAGTATGGTCTATAACCAGGAGAAGATCAGTTAATATAAAAAGGGCCAGAAATAACAGCCACTAGGTAATTAGCAGATAGAGACTTTAAAACAGCCATGATGAATACCAAAGAATATAATGGAAAATATGAACATATTAAAGAGAAAAATGGAAGAAATAAAATAGAACTAAGTATAAATGTAATTCTAACTTTCTACTTAAATTTTTTAAATTAAAAAACAACTTCTGGAGTTGAAAAGGATAATAATACCTTATATGAAAAATTCAAAGGATGGACCTACTAGACCAGAATGTGGGAGAAAAGTCCACTGAACTTGAAGACAAATGACCCAAAATGAAGGAAACAAATGACCCACAGAGAAGGAAAAAGTTGGAAAACAAACAGTGTTGTCAGTTACTTGTAGAACAATGTCAAGCAGCCTAACAGAGGAGGGGGAGAAAAAAATAGTTAAGAAAATATTTTTTTTCCAAATAAATGAAGATTATAAACACACATATACAAGAAGCTCAACAAACTGTAAGCAGGATAATTAGAGAAAACTATACCAAGACACATCACAATCAAATTGCTAAAAATCCAGTGATCAAGAGAAAATATTCAAAGCAGCTGGACAAAAAATGATGTTACTTACAGGGGAACAAATACAAGATTTTTCAATGACTTCTCATTAAAAATAATGCAAGCTAGGAGAAAATGGAATGGCATCTGAAAGTACTGAGAATTTTACTTTATAAAATATATAAATTTCCTAGCTTTATCCTCTGAAAAGGTCTAGAAGCAGTGAACCCCAGGAACAGTCAGCACCCTAGGCCCCTGACTGTGGTCTCTAACACTCTTTTCCAGTAAAGGGAACCTGAAGTCCTTGGGAAATGGTGGATTTCAAGTGTGGGGTAGGATAGACACAAGATGCGACTAGACATCCTATTGTCCCAAGCAAGAAGCCTAGTAAGAGCTACTGCATATGTCAGAAGAACACAGGAACCTACTACCTGCAGGGCTCCCACTGACCAAAGATAGAACAGTCTGAGCAACAAAAAAGGTGATTGTAACTGATCGAAGCACATCAGATACCTTCAGATCTATGAGTTCATATGATACTAAAACAGAATAGCCCTTGGTAACCATTGGAGTTTGCTAGGGTACCAACTCACTCATTGTCCTGAATTTTGTTAAGTAATTAGACACGTCAACCATTTGTTTTACCTTTTCCAAGTGAGCACTATTTCAAAACAAACAAATAGAGGAAAGTTATAAATGGAGAAAATTAACACTTTGCAACTGCTAATGAAACGATGAATGTAGTCAAGAGCATCAGTAAATGCAGAAACCATCAGGTATGAAGTTGATGGGGGACTTCATAACGAAGAGAGGTAACCAGTAACATCTGAACCCACTGGTCAACATTCACATTCCATTATGTGCCTCCTATTTGATTTATAAGTCCACCACACTGCCTATGGTGGATTCTAGCCGCTTCCCCCCTCCCAAAACAAACAAAAAAGCAAAAACTTTAATTAGGCATTCATATCTAATCACAGAGGGTAGAGAGACAAATTAAATGACACCACAGGAAATAGCCAGTTAAATACAGAATATAGGGTATGCTAAAGACAGCCTCTTTTCACAGACAAATGACAGAAATGGAAAAGGAGAAACTGTTACAGATTGAAAACAGAAAATCAGCCAATTGCAAGATCTGTGGACCTTGTTCGGATCTTGATGTTAACTGTAAAAGTATATTTTTAAAAGACTGGTGAAATTTTCAGATGGACTGAGTTTAAATATTTTTGTTAATTTTTTAGGTGTCATAATGGCGTTGAGGTTATTTAAATTAAGTATTTCTGAGGCAAATACTAAGTTGTCTGGGATTTGCTATAACCACTTTTCCTGCACAAACCGTTAGGAAAAGAAAAGCTAGAGTAAACAAGTAGGAAAGCGTTGATTTTTGTTGATGTTTGGTGATGGGTACATGAAGGGTAGTCATTGGATTACTCTCTATTTTGTGCACATTTTAGCATAAAAAGCATTTATTTTTAAAAAAATAGTGCGCTCGAGGACCTTCCGTCGATCTAGAAGAGAGCGCCTCGCTTGGAATGTGTGAAGTGCGTCTCACAATGAGAAACAGCTCTAACGAGTTTGGTTTAAGTACCCGACGTGTGGGAGAAAACAGAACGATGCTAAAGGCAGTATCCTTACGGAAGTGAAGAGGTTTAGCTGCTACCATGAGGCAGCACTGACAACTCTTACACGCAGACGAAAGTGATGAAAGCACGAGGGGCCCACTTCGTGGTGTTAAGTAGACCCACTTTGCCTGTTCCTGTGCCAGCCGGCATTGCCTTAAAGGTACATCCGTCACAGAGCCCAGAACCTGGAAAGGACTGCAGGGCAAGGCTCCTTGGTGACCCCTTTGTGCTTTCTTTTCTCAAGGGTTGTGGTGTCAGGTGGCCAAATCCATCTGCTAAGGGACTGCTTTTGTCAAAGGATTCATGAGACACATTCCCTGTGGTCTAACAACACATTCCGTTATGCATTGTGGGGTTTTTTTTAATTTGTCTTATGATTTATTTTTTCTGTATGTCTTTGAAGTTTGCCCATTTTTAACTCATGTTCATTTCTCGCTCTGTGTTTGTGTCATGCTTGCTGTCCTTGCCTCCGTTGTTCCCAGGTTACAGTGTAGCCAGGATATACCCAGTCACCTGGCCGATGAGCATGCGCTGATAGCCTCCTATGTGGCCCGTCTGCAGCACTGTGCACGGTCAGTGGGAGGGCGGCAGCGGGGGCGGGGAACCCGGGGCCGAGCAGAGGGTGGGAGAGCTGCGTCGCCCAGGGTTGCCAGCTGGAAAAAGCTCTGCACGTGGGGTTTTGCTTGAGAAGCTCCCAGCTACGTTTGGCAGCGTTTGTGTTACTGCTGACGCATTAACTTCTGAAGGAGAAGGAGCCTTGCCAAGCCCAGGCACTTACCTAAACATACAGTCAAAATTCTGCCGTGAAGCAGAGCTCACTTCCTTCAGATTATACTTAAAGAATATCTAGACCTTGGAGAGATAGGCGGTCCTGAAGATGTACCTCCACAGGAGCATTCGATGAGCCTTTTACTGTTCATTCTGACCTAAATAATGAAATCTTTCTGTTAATACTCAAAGCTTAGGTCAGTCAGCCCACGCACATCCCACTTTGTCTAATTGTCAGTGCTACCACCTTGTCACAGATTCCCATGTCACACCGCCACCTCTTCCCCCAAGTCCGTCATTGTTGGTCATTTAAACCAGTGCTTTTCAACATTGGTATTGGATCGTTGTCCGACGCCTTATGGACTGTTCCCAATGACGCAGGCCTCCTCATACTGTAATGATTATATGGACTGTACTAGCCCCACTGCCCCTCTCCCCGAAGACTGTGACCGTGACTCATTCTTAATATGGGAATGTGACCGACCCTTCAGTGGGGTAGGATGGAAAATTGTTTGATGACCACTAACCACAGCAAAGGTAACCCTGTAACAGAGCTCATACCAAACCAAATGCTGGCACATTCAGGCTGACCCAGCCACCTGCCTGCGCCGTGGCCACGCCCACCAGTGCTCTGCATGGAGAATGCAGGTGAAGTGGGAGGCACCCAAGGCCATCCCAGCTGCTCTGCGTGGCAGTCACTGTACCCAACAATGTGAGATTCTTAGTGTTGGGGGGACCCCATAATTCATAAACTAAATACATAAGGGAGGCTGGAGCCTTAAATTTTGATCTTCCTTTTGCCCATAGCATACCATGGTCCCATGAGAAGGTAACTCTTATTCCCCATGACAACAGATAAATTAATAGTCCATGAGAAATGCATATATTTAAAAAGGACTCTGTTAATATTATACTTCATATCATTTCCCACAGTTTCCCTAGTATGACTAAATAGCATTGATATTTTTAGAAGTTTATTTACCTATCTGTAGAGCCTCGGGGTTCTTAGGAGAACTGTAGGGTTCTCCTACTTCCCAAGTGTGTTTGCCCCACAGGAGGGAAGTCAGGGCCTGGCTGATAGTTGTGCATCAGGTCACAGAGAGTGTCCTCTCAGCCAGCAGACATGATTTCTGGGCACTGTGCCCCTGCCCCTCGGCCTGTAGGAGCAGAGCGGTCTCATCCTCACCCCTGGCAGGACAGCTCACTTAAAACCAGTCAGGGCCATTGTCTGGGTGTGTAAAAGTTTCCACGGGGAAAGTGGCAGCTGGATGTTGGACAGCAACTGCCACCTGATCTGTCAGCCCAAGAAGATTTATGGTAGGTTTAGCCCAGGTCCTCGCGTCTTTGTCCCAGGGATAAGACTCCCCGCTCGAGAATCGGTGGCCAGGGACCCTGGGAGAACGTGAAGATGTGGTGAGTACTACATCTCTTCCGGATCCACACTGTAAGGACCTGAACTTCATACTTCCTCGAAGAAATCAGACATTTCACGGCTAATTCTACAAATGAATTCAGTTCAAGAAGAAGAATAGGGGACCTTTCTAATTTTCCTTATAATTTTCATTGACCTTAAAACCTCTCATCAACATAAAGTTCTAGTTTCTGGTTGGAAAGCAGAGTCAGTTGGAACAACCACGTTGGCCACACTTGGGTGTGAATGACAAGCAGGGTTGACCTTGCCCGGGAGCTGGAATGTGCTGGAGAAGGAGCTTTCCTGCACAGAGGAACGCGATGGCCCTTGGCGAGAAACAGACGTTAACCATGTTAGATCCCACTTCTTAGGCTGCCGGTCCCTCCATAATATTATCTACTTGCATTGTGAAATATTAATTTCTGTTGTTTATTTAAAGGATAAAGGTAGTTCTCCTGTGTCAGACAAATGCCTTTAAAGCACAAATACATTTCAGCCCAGCTCTTGGGGCCATGGCCTAGAGATGTTAAAGTCGGCTGATGGTAGCAAGTTCTTACTGTGTGATCATCTTTCAAGAGGGTGATTGTACACGTTGGAGACATTTGCACACCTGAAGTTACTAAGGGTTCAGAAGTGTCATAGACAGAGGACTTTAAAGCCTGTTCCAAACAAAATTATCTATCCTAGAGGAAAGACTAAACTTACAGAATTCGCCACAGAGATAGAAATATAGAAAGGTGAGAAAAAATGTAGGAAAAAATGCAGTTGATCATATACATGAGAAGCCAGATGGAGCCCTGTTAATCTGCCTCTACCCTTCCCAGGTTCTCCTCAGTGATTATAACAAGGTTGGATGAGTACTGAACTCATGTCTTCAAATCTCTTCAGAATGCGTGTCAGGTTGCTAAATTCCAGTCAAGGATTTTTAGAACTCCAAGAACGTAGGGCCAAAGTAGAAGCAAGCCCCCACAGCCAGCTCTGGTCCGTCATCGTCATCTCTGTTACCTTAAAGCTCCTTCCAGGCTTACACAAAGAGAATCGTACAGCCGTGTCCCTATTCATCAGGAGGTGCCCTGGTACAAACACAGGGCAGTTGAGGTCATGTGCTAGATTAATGGAGTCAGCTGTTTCACCCACAGCTCGTTGCATTGCGTAGAGCGGACCTGCCACTCAGGAACCCGTTTTTCATCCAGGTGCGGCATTACCTGACATCCCACCTCGGTCGGTCTTTACATTTTTAGAGTGCGGAGCTCTCATTAAAGAGTAATGGACTGAGTGGCTCAAAGATGGGGCTGTATTGTGAAACAAGCGTGGTAAAGGAAGAAAAAGAGGAATTGAAAGAAAGGGTTCGATACCATCGTACGCTTCTCCACCTTTACCACATGCTGCTCGGCCCACCCAAGCCCTCCGTGTTGCTCGGCCGATGTTAACTGTACTTTTTTCAGCCGTTTGTCATGATGCATCAGCTTTCTGTTGGTCTTTTGAGGTTCGAGACTTATGTCTAAAAGTCGTGAGTTCCTTTTAGAACATTTGACTGGAAACCCCTCTTGTCAGACTCTGTAAATGTCCTGTCTTTTCTCAGTCCTTGTATGGAAAAAGAAGTGCCCGTCCGCCAGTGTAAGGTCATTGGGACGTGCTGCTGAAGACAGGTGACATGCACGGTGGCCTCGGTTCTCTGAGTCCCCTCTGTCTCAGACAGCCATTGGCGTCTGTGAGCCAGGCCTCCACTTCTTCTGTTACCATCCTTTTTACAAGCTCTTCTCCCGTCCGTCTTTCTGAAAGAGAAGCAAGAAGAGGGGACGTTTAAGAGACACCTGTTCATTTTTATCTCCTCGACAGCGTCCTGGACAGTCCCAGCCGCCTGGATGAGGAACACCGGCTCATCGCACGCTACGCCGCCCGGCTGGCCGCAGAGGCGGGAAATGCGGTGAGTGAATGGAGGGGTCCAGCAGAGAGGCCAGTTAGCATCACTCTAACATACAAGGGATGGGGGAGCGGTCAACACGAAGCCCAGGAGAACACGCACCTCAGGGCCAGAAGGAGAGGAGTGGGCTTAGGGAAGGGATGTCAGTGGTCTTGAATTTTATCTATGATATTCTCTCTTCAAAAAATGAATCAAGAGCAGAACATCAAAGAGTCAATTTAGTTCTCTGGAAAAAAATCAAAGTAATAAATTCCTAGAAATCCTGATCAAGAAAAAAAGAAAGAAACCACAAATTACCAATATCACAAATGAGAACAGGACCTGGCTACAGACCCTGCAGACATTATTAAGGGTGATAAGGGAATATTATGAGCCACTTTTTGCCAGTGAATTTAACAACCTAGATGAAATAGACAACTTTCTTGAAAGACAGATTAACAATACTGACATAAAAACAAATAGAAAGTCTAGCTAGTCTTAAACCTGTTAAAGAAATTGTATTGATAACTTCCCACAAAGAAAACTTCACGCTCACATGACTTTACTGTTCGATATTCTCATACTCATAAAAGAGACATTATAACAATCTGACATAACTTCTAATAGGACATACAGGAAGAAGAAACACTTCCAAGTCATTTCATCAGCCCCCTACAATCTGATACCAAAACAATACAAGGCAGTTACAGGAAAAGGAAACCGATTTCCTTTTCCACTCAGCGAGCGGATTGAGTGCTGGCCTGTGAACCAAAGGGTCGCCAGTTCAATTCCCAGTCAGGGCATGTGCTTGGGTTGCAGGCCAGGTCCCCAGTTGGGAGTGTGGGAGAGGCAACCACATATTGATGTTTCCTCCCTCTCTTTCTCCCTCCTTTCCCTTCTCTCTAAAAATAAATAAATTTATTTTAAAAGAAAACTTTTAAAAAAATTAGTAAATTGAATCCAGCAGTACACAAACAGGACGATACTCCACAAACGAGGTTTATTTTAGGAATGCAAATTGATTTAATACACAAAAAATCAGCCAGTGTAGTTCCCCATATTAGCAGTGCAAAGAAGAATACAAGACCATTTCAATAAATGCAGAAAAAGCCTGCGACAAAATATGATCATTATTTACGATACAACTTCTCAATACACTAGGAGCAGGAAAAACTTCCTCAGATGGTAATGATTATTTACAAAAAACATACAGCTAATATTACACTTAAAGGTTAAATTTTAGAATGTTTTCCCTACCTAATACTCTCACAAGACAAAGATGTCCCCTCCTACCACCCCTATTCAGAGCTGTTCTGGAGGCCCTACTAGCCAATGCAGCATCACAAGAAGGGCATAATTATTAGAAAGGAAGAAGTAAAACTGTTATTATTTGCAGATGACATGAGATTGCATAGAAAATTTCTAAGGAATCTACAGAACACTAGTAGAACAGATTCGTGACTTTATAACAGTGTTGCAAGGTACAAAGTCAATATAAAAACTCTATTTCCTAGCAGTAAACAAGACAGTCAAATTTAGGAAAAATGTCCTTTCCTATAACATTAAAAATCATCAAATACAAGCAAAGAGCTGAAAGGAGGAGCGATCTGAAGCCAAGATGGCAGGCCGTGTGAGCAGTGACCAGGCAGAGAAACTGTGATGAGCGCCCACTGGGGTGCTCTGATGTATGTCGGGGCCGTACGTATGTCAGAGGGGAGAGTTCAGTAAGAGAACAGTCCCGGGTGACCTGGGCCGGCCCAGAGGCCAGATGGCTCAGGACAGCACACATACTGTATTACTGCAGAAATGTGTACCCATTCATGTTTACTTTTTCACCGGAAGGTAGAGTTATGAAAGCTGCTTTGTTTCTCCACGCCCCCCCAAAAGTAATGTATTCCTTTGCATTTGTTTAGAATTCAAAAAATTTTTTTTCAATCTCATATTGGGTCCTACATCAGAGTCTAACATGGCAACTCTACAGGTTAGTGAAATAGGACAGAATAGGGGGGAAAGTCTGGGGAAAAGCAAGGTTCCATTAGTTAAACCTCACACATACCCTCAGTCACAGCTGTTCACATTATTTTAGCAGTTAGAATTTATAAACAAAATTAATCGAACTCATTGAGATAGCATCGAGGGTGGGTTTTTAAAATTAAGTATATTTAATGCCATTATATAGTCTTGTTGACTTTGCACAGTACTTTCAAAATGCTATAAATTAAAGCTCCAAAGCCATTTGACCCTGAATAGGAGATTGCAGGTCTCCTTCACTGCAAACAAGATAAGTCTGTTTGCACCTGATAGCAGTTCTCTTACTCGTGTGAAAATGATCATTGTTAGAGTGGGCTTGAGACTGAATACTGATATGGTCCCTTTCATCTGCAGTTTATTTTCTAAAGTGTAGTTGTCTTATAAATATTAGACCTCTCAGGCTGAGTTCTTCTAGACTAGATTTCTCTTACACAGAAGACTTCTAATCTGCTAATCTCTCACTGATACAAGTGCTTTGCGTAAAGTGGGTGTAGCGCTCAGAAGAATTTATAGCCTGCTAGATAGACTTTGCATTGATTTTTTTTTTTTAAAACACCTTCCTCCACAAAGAAAGACCATTAAATCATCCGGGCAGTTTGCATTGCACCCCGTAGCAGGCTTCGGCATCGGAGCCTTCACGTCCCCTTCCGGGGGGTACGCGGTGGCCGCTGGCCCCTCGGCAGACTCACCCTCGAATGAAGAGATTCCAGGTGCCTAGAGGAGCCAGGGGAGCTGATGTGTTTTTCCGAAGAAGTAAACAAAGCAAAACTACAATGTGTGGAAAGTCACAATAATAACAGTAAATTCTTATTTATCACCAACATCACCAGCCTTAGATATACTCAGGTGTTCGGGGTTTATTTCCAAAGTAACTTTCTTTATGACAAAATTAAAAACCTCACAGTGGAAATCTTGGAAGAAAGGTGGAGAGGAAGGGGAAACTTGCCCGTGCGTCCTACTAAGCCGCACGCAGTTTTGCGATGCTTTCGCCCATCACAGCATCTTCCTGTGTCAGCACGCGCGTGCCATTCCAGACGTCACCTGCGGTTTCTCAGGGTCACAGATCAGCAGCGTCCACATGGCGGTTTGCACACACTCAGGGACTCAGAGTCCCCCGTAAAAACAGTGAGTGGCAAGCCTGCTATTCTGATAGTGTGACGCAATTAAAAACTAGGTTCTTGGCTTTGCCTCAGACCTGCTGAATAAGAGTCTCTTGGTTTTTGATGTCTTGATTTTTATGTACAAAAGCAGTAGAAAATTCCCAGTCTTCGGGACCACCACCCTAAAACATGTTATTGGGGTTTTGAGAGACAAGAGAGAGAGTAGTAATCCACAGCCCTGCAGTTGGTCCGAGTGGGCGTGGGGTGATGGCAGGACCTCCTCTGCGATTCACAGGGAGTCTAGTTGATATCTGGCTCTTCTCTTTGGAATTCGTCCTCACCAAGTTCATACAGATGGGAAGCCTCCAGTCTACAGGGCCCGGCAGAAGTAAGGCCTGCTTGAGTGTGGTTGGGAGGGTAATAATGTGGTTGTAATAATTTATAGTTTTAATTTCAGCATTCCACCCAAAATGTCGTATGGTGTGCTTGAGTGTAATATTGTTATGTTACAGAATTACATGCTTATGATTTTGTAATTAAAAAGGGCGTTATTGGTGCTGGACCCTATATGTTTAGGAGGCCACCAAAATGCATATTAAGAGATTACAGTTCGCTGAGCGTTGGTGTCCCTTGGTTACGTAACTTGTGCCCAGTCTTACTCAAGGGGGTCGTGTCTTTCATCTTGTACTTCACAGATGAATCTCCATCTCATTAAAGATGACGGAGTTCTGTGGGATTACCTGAACCTAAGAGAATGCTGACGTAACAGAGGAAGTGATCCTCTTCACATCTCTTTTTGTAAATATCCCCACTTTACAGACAAGAAAATAAAGGCCCAGTAAAACAAAATAACCCAAGGTTTCCATGGCAAGTCAGTAGCAAAACCTGGGATTCCTGACCAGGCCACCCACTTTCATCTTAGAGCAGAGCAGCGTTGTTCGTAATAAACTGTTATTGTGGGACAGTTGTGGATCTACAGAAAAACTGTGAGGCCAGGACAGAGAATTTCCATGCAACCCGTACTCAGTTTCCCGATACTGACATCTTACATTAATATGGCATGTTTTTTGCAATTAATGAGCTCGTATCGATACGTTATTGTTAACCAAGGTCCATATTTTATTCAGACCTTGTTAGTTTTTTACCTAATGCCCCTTTTCTGTCCCAGGATCTCATCCAAGATGCCACGTTGTACTTAGTTGTCGAGTCTCCTTCCGTCCCTCTTGGCAATGATGGTTTCTCTGACTTTCTTTGTTTTTGATGGCCTTGATGGCTTTGAGAAGCATTAGTCACATGCCATAGAATGTTCCCTACATGGGATTAGCATGATGTTTTCCTCATGATTGGACTGGGACTGTGGGTTTGGAGGGAGAAGAGGCAAGTGCCCCTTTTCTGTTGTATCGGGTACATAGGATCGGCATCATTTATCACTGTCACTGTTGACCTTGGTCGTCTGACTGAGAATGTGTTTGTCAGGTTTTTCCAACATAAAATTCCTCCCCTGCCTTCCCACCCATCCTCTTTGAAAGGAAGTCATTTTGGGCAGGCCACGCGGGAATGGGGAGTTTGGCTCTACTCCCTCAAGGGGAGAGTGTGTTCCCGCATTATTTGGAATTGCTGTGTTTTGCACTGAGAGTCCTAGAGTCGCTTCACACCATATTCAGGATGGAACGGAGGCCCCTGCCCATGGCCCTCTGTGGTCTGGACACCGGCTTCATCTCCCAGTTCGGTACTGGCCGCTCGCACCACAGTTGACTCTCGGACCCAAGAACAGCAAAGGCAGCTGCCGTGGGCCTGCCGCCTTTCCCCTGGTTCGCTTCCTACCGTCACTGAGTCTCTGGGAGCGTTTCACCACCACCTCGCTTAAAAAGAGCCCCTGTCTCAGCTCGCTCTGTCTCATTTCCCCGCATTTCTTCATTGCGTTTATCCCAGTAGCCGTAAGCCACGTGTGGGAGGGGACTGTGTCCTATCCACTGACGCATCCCTAGTCTCTAAAACAGTGCCTAGCACATAGTAAGTGCTCAGGGGATATTTGCTGAATAAATGAATGCATGAACTACTTAATTTTTGAAGGAAATCATCTTTAGGTTTCTTCTTGCCTAAGTAGTCTGTGTCTTTATGACCTAATAATTCCCTTTCCGTTTTTTTTCTCTTTGGTGTCCTAGGCATTTTAGAAATAAGGATACCTGGCTTTTTTTTTTTTTCTTTTAAGGAGCACCATGGTGTTATAGTAAGTGAATCAAATGCTCAGTTTCTCTGTTATTTAATGTGCAGTTGATGTGTTGCACATTAAACAACAGACCCCGTGAAATAAGCCATCAGTGGACATTTGCCAGCGGGGCCCTCCCTGCTCTGTCCCCAGGCACGGCGCCCCCGTGGGGGTGCTGCCTCGCGGTCCCACTCTTCCTCCACCTGCCCTTGCCCACGTCTTTGCTCCTTGGTGCCACAGACTCCCGCCTGGGCAGGAGCTGCTGTCGATAATAACCCCTGACTGCCCAGTTAACCTCCCCTCTGAAGATGCCTTCGAGTGCAGTTAGACACTCAAAACTGAAAGGGTTCTTTAGAAATAAATGTCCAGTGGAATGCTACAGGGTTTTCATCTGTTTGTTTTCTATCTAGGAAGCAGATTCCTTTCAGAGATCATTTCCTCCTAATTTTTCCTGGTTCTATTCTAATAAGAAGCCATTAGTTTGAACTCCAGTTTTCAGAGATGGTAAATCTATTATTCATAGCAGGTTCAGTTCCAAGCAAGGCATTTTTCTGAGGTGCAATTCAGCATCTCACAAGACTCTTACTATAATACAGAAAATTTCCTGAATTGTCTGCTGGTCCACTCGTCTCTGGAGGAGAAAAAAAGAAAAACAAAAATATTTGGTAAAAAGCCTCCCACCCAGACCTGCTCTGCAGCTTTGCCTGTGTTTGTTTAGGAAACACACCTTCAGGCTTTAGATAGAGGTCAAGGCTCCTGCTTCATTGTAGGTGAGGCTCGGGGCAGAACTGAGAGTGTGCAGGAGTGCAGCACAGCCATCGAAGGAAGGGCCTCCATCCAGGGCTTTCGCTCTGGGTAACAGCAGGGGGGCAGCCTCACCCGTTCCTCTGTTTTCCCAGTTCGTGTTGATCGGCTTCCATATTCTTAAAGGGGGTAACAAGTGTTAGAAACATCCATGGGCTTGCAAGACAAAGCCACAGCGATTTCTTCAGAGATAATATGTGAGTGACAATAAGCATATGAAAGCACACTCAACACGTTAGTCAGGAGGAAGATGCAAATCCCTTCCACAGTGAGGTGGCACTTCGTACTCACTAGGAGGACGACGATCAGAAAGAAGGACAATGACAAGTGCTGACGATGGCGTGTGAAAATTGGAATCGCGTGCGTCGAGGGTGGGAATGTAAAGTGGCTCGGCCACTTGGGAAGACCCTCCGGCGGGCCCTCAAACGGCAGTTACCATGCGACCCAGCAGTTCCCTTCCTCGATGTCTACCCAAGAGAAATGAAAATATATCTCCATGCAGAAACGTGTCCACAGATGTTCATAGAAGCATCATTCAAAATAGCCAAAAAGTGGGGACAATGGAAATATCCACCAACTGTTGAATAATCAAAATGCAGTCTGTCCGCATCGTGGACTGTTATGCAGCTGTACAAAAAGAGCAAAATACTGATACAGGTGACAACATGGATGGACCTCAAAAACATTTCGCCACGTGAAAGAAGCCAGATATAAAAGATCACCTGTTGCATAATTCCGTGTGTACGAACTGTTGGGAATGGGCAAGTCCAGAAAGACAGGAAGTAGACCAGTGGCTGTGAGTGGGGGAGGGGCCGCGGGGAGTGACTGCTAATGAGATGGGGTTTCTTCCTGGGGGCGATGAAAACCTTCTGGGGTTAGATGGTGACGATGGCCTCACAACATCGTAACTGCACTGGAAGCCACTGTACCCTTTCAAAGGGTGGGTTTCACGGCGTGTAAATTATATCTCATTAAAAAAAAACCCCACGGATACGTCTCACCCACCAGGGCCATTAAAACTAAAAAGACAGTGACGAGTTTTAACAGGATGTGGAGAATCACTCCCTGGTTCACTGTGGGTGTGATTACAAAAGGGAATAGCCACTTTGGAGAACAACTTGACAGTTCCTCCCAACGTTAAGTATAGAGTTACCTTATAACTCAGGAATTCCACTTTTAGGCACTTACCCAAGAGAAATGAAAACAGACGTCAACGCATAGCTGCTTCGTTGAACGGCCCAAAGCTGCAACTGTGGAATGCTACTCGGCAGTAAAAAGAGGGAACTCCTGACTCATGAATCAACGTAGACAAACCCCAAAAACATCCTGCAAAGTAGAAGCTAAAAGCCAATGGCAACGTGCCATGTGGTTCCATTTACAAGCAGCTTCTAGACAGGGCAGAGCCAGCCGGCAGGCCCGTGGGGGCAGGGGGGACGCCTGCACTGGGGGATGGGAGTGGGTGGGAGTTGACCCACACTGGCATGAGGGGCATTTTTTGTGGCAGTGGAAATGTTCTAAAGCTGGACTTTGGGTGACTGGCACAACCCTGTTTAAATTCACTGAGACTCATTGAACTGTACACTTAAGACAGGTGAGTTCTCTGGGAGGTAATTCTTACCTCAAAAATGAGTCAACAGTCTATGTAGGACTTTGGATGTATCTAAATCGGGGGGAAAAAACCACCCTTCTGTCTCCTCACTGCAGACCCGCCCTCCCACTGACCTGAGCTTTAGCTTCGATGCCAACAAACAACAGAGACAGCTCATTGCAGAACTGGAAAACAAAAACAGGTAAGAATGCAGGGGCTGAACCGGTTTCTGAGGTCCAGGGTTAGCATGTGAGTATCTCGTTTTCCTGGCAGACTACACAGCTTTTGACCACACAGGAAGAACCTCCCCCCAGTGACTATAGGCCAGCCCAAGTCCACTACATTCCCTGGACACTGAGTTGCATATCTGCATGTGTTCATGGCACTAGTCCAAATCCCTGCTCACCTGTCCTCAGGTAGGTTCTTTTCCAGGTGCCTGCTTCCAGGTGCCTATCTGGTCATCTTGTCCTGGCTTGTTAGGCTGCGGGCGCCTGGTCTCTTACTAAGAAAGCTATTTTAAGGCTTGGAGACGAGACGACACCCCACTGTGCACTGAAAGGCAGAAGCCCGGCCAAGGAGATTGGACATGCCGGAACAGGCATAGGTAGAAGCCACTGCCCGTCACTCGGGGTCGGGGAAGAAGGGAGACAGGACGCCTTGGGGCGAGTTAGCCCAGGGCCTCAGCAGGTCGCAGGGTGTTCTCTTGCGCTTTCCCCAGGGAGGAACACAGTATTCCGTTGTCATTTCTCTTCTGGGAAGACTTTTTCAAGTTGTCGAGAAGAGTCTTTTAATGGCTTTTTCTACCGTAAAGGATTGTTTCATTGAGGGCCATGTGCCACGGTATTAAGGAGGTGTCCGATTCCCATCCTGGTCACTTGGAAGCCATCAGAATGAGACTGGCAGAGGTTGTAGTGCACGAGTGAAAACTTCTGCCAGGGAGAAAGAGGTGCGAGGCCTTCTGTGGCCCACTTCCCTCCTTGTCCCTCTGCAGGGAGATCCTGCAGGAGATCCAGCGCCTCCGCCTGGAGCACGAGCAGGCCTCCCAGCCCACCCCGGAGAAGGCCCAGCAGAACCCCACGCTGCTGGCCGAGCTGCGGCTGCTGAGGTAAGAGGCGGGCCACTGCATCCAATGATAATCTGCTCCGGAACTTGTATCCCAGGAATTCAGATCAGTGGGATAGAATCTGTTTATCAGTGTAACTAGTCAGGTCATAACAAACACTGAAGGTTCCACTCATTCTGTTACGGCTTCAGACGCTTGGGTTCCTTTGTTCATCCCTGAGAACATCTGCCTGCGTTACAGAGCTGGGTGAGCACCCATCCCCAGCTCCTCACCAAGCAGGACAGGGCTTATTCTTCTGAAGCTGCTTCAGGAAAACCGTGGCACTGCATTCTACCTTCCTGTCTTGCATGTCGGTCCACTTCCAGGGCCTCTGGGCAGAGTAACGCTGTCCCTGCCCTGTGGGTCTGTTCTGGCTCTTTCCTGTCAGAGCAGGACTGTGTTGGAGGAGGAGCGCTTCCCACACACATCACAGTGACACTGAAACCGAGTGGGAACCCCTCGCACCACGGCTGGGGACCCTTCCCGCTCCCACATGAATATGAACCGTCCTGAAGGTCGAGAGGCTCAGGGTGCAGGATCAGGGGAGCAGAGAGCAACTCCAGCTCCCACTCTGATGCTGTTGTGGAGGGAACGAGGCGGTCTTCCAGAAGAGCATAGCAGGACAGCGAGCTGATCGGAGTTATTAGGCTCTGATTCACTGTCAGTCTTGGAAGGTCGTGTGTGTCTTCTGTAAGTGGAGGAAGTCTGGAAACCAAGTGACTTGAGTCTCACCAGCCCTCTAGACTTCCACCTGGCGGGTTTTTCTGTTCAGGCCGTGACATTTAACATTCCATGGTGGATGTGCTGTCACCTGGGATTCTAGCTGTGTGTCCTTTCTGAGTTCTTTTGACTTCAGCCCTGTGGCTTCTCAGCCATGACTTCTTTTCCTAGAAAAGAGAGAAGATAGTTTTTCTATAACTGTCATTCTTTAGATTTATAGCACTCATAAATAAGTCATAAAGAATCCTAAATGTGCAGATGAAAATCATCAGAGGTGGAGAAGTCCCCATTTTCCTGAAAATTCATTTTAGTTTCTAAATCAGTTGGGCTGAGTGTTGGCTGCCCTGCAGGCTGCGGCCACACGTTGAGGAGGTGCTGGGTCAGCTGGTCACGCGGGAAGCACACAGTCCCCCTGCCTGGCGCTGGCACCAAAGGAAGAAAAGCACCAACAGGCAGATTAGACATGGAGGCAAAACTTCAGAACTTCCAAAAGAAACTGTAGGGGAATTTCTTTAGGATTTGGGAATCAAAAATAATTTCTCGGAATTACTAAGCATGGAAGAAGTTCGTAAATTCACCCATGTTAATAACTTTTGCTTATTAGAAGACATACAAAGGGCGAGGCTCATTTGTAGGCACCTGGCATCCTTCTGTTCCTGACCAATATGTAGGCACTGCCGGTACCCGCTGTGTAACCGAACAAGACAGAGGACGTCATCGTTAGGGTCGGTGGTGATGGCTCCTGACCACCAGAGTTATGTTTTCCTCCGTTATCCTTATTCTAATGGTACATTCGTCACAATAATATGTGTGACAAAGGTGTGAAATAGGGGAAGAGGTGGGCCCACATCCTACCTGAGAACTCACGTGTGACAAAACCCCGTCGTGTGGGTGCAGGACCCCTTACCCCACAACTTCACTGTCGCCTTCCCCCACGGAGTGGACCTCTGCAGAATGTGGTTTGTTCTCCCCTTGCTTCTTACGCAGTATTATCATATATGTGTGTATTCCTAGGTAACAAGGTATTTCGTTGGCTGTTGCTGTCTAGACATTATAGAAATGTTGTTATATGCAGCTTTCTGGGATCCCCCCCCCCGTATGACTCTTTAGGACCCTTCCGTGTTGCTGCATGTGGCTGTAGTTCATTCATTTTCACCAGGTGTTGTAATAGTTGGTCGTGCCAACACAGAGACAGGGCGCTGTGTCCGGTCCTGGGGGTTCAGGAAAGAGTGAGCCTCCCAATTGCATTCATACTGTGCTGGAAATTAGGGGAGGATAATGATTAGGAGATAGTGGATCCATCCTAAAACTTTATAATCTAGTTTTGGAAACAAAACATAAGTTGCTAGTCAACTAAATAACATTATACAATGTTAATAAGTGGTATGGATAATATAAGAAATCTGAGTAGTATGTTATAAGAATCTAAATCTATACAGGCTAGAAGCAGTCAGACCCACAGAGGTGGGGGAAGTTGAGCCAGACCATGAGAGGTAGGTGTGACTTGCATGGAGTATGAGACCAACCATTTCTGATTAGAAGTGGTGTTGGGGTTCAGCATGATCCCCCAAATAAGTATAACACATTACAGAGAGGGGAAGGGCTCTCAGAGCTAAGAATTTTCAATCATCCATTGAATTAATCTTTGTGCCAATGATGGGTGATAAAATTAGTTAGATAATTGATACCAGATTCTGGAGAACTTTAAGCAATAGGCCATTGGAAATCCTTGAGGGGCATCAAACAATGATTCCTTTGAGTTAACTAGAGGTTAACTTAGTACATGCTGGATGCACGAGAGTCTACTAAGGCTCATTCCTCACCCTCAATGATTGTGCAGCAGTAGGGATGACAGCACAGCAGTGCAAGGTAAAGTAAAGCGCCACAGAGAAGGCCTGATTGCTAGAGTGGTGGACTAAGTGGGACCTGATAGCAGTGAAGTAGTCAGGCGCAGCCCCATGGAAGGAGTGGTCTGGGATGGACTTGAAGGAGTGAATGAACAACATTTGGAAGGTGGGGGATAGCTGCGAGTTGTAACTTGGCGGGGTCTGTTTAGGGAAAAGTGCACCATCTGGAGGTCCAGACACAGAGGGAATAGGTGAGGCACTGAGGACAGGATGGGGGGCGGGGGGTCCTGGAGCCGTGCTGTCCAATAGAAATACACGGTGAGACACATGCACAACTAAAACTTTTCTAACACCTACAAGTGAAAGACTAAAAGCAAATAGGTGTCATTAATTTTAATGCTATCTTTTACTTGACCTGATATATCCAAAATACTATCATTTTCACATTGAATCAACATGAAGAATTATTAATGAAATAGTTTACTTTTATCCACACTACATGTGTGAAATCCAGTGTGTATGTTACTTTTAGTGCATGTCAGTTAAGATGGGCTGCTTGTGGGCGGGCACACTTCACAAAACACTTTCATCATCGTTGCCTTATTTGTTTCTCAGAATATCGCGGATGTTATTTATTATCAGCCCCCATTTCACAGAATACAAAACTGAGGCTCAGACAGGTTAGGTGACTTGTCCAAAACTGCACAGTTAGAAAATGATGGGCCTCCAGTCTCCCACTGCATTTTGCTCACCATGACCCGTGCCACCCGGATCAGCCACTCGAAGAGGCCCCTGGGTGTGCACGGGGAGGCGCGCTTGGAGAAGGGAGAGGAGGGAGGATAGGAAGGTGGGTGCACACGCTTCCAGGAAGGCGGCGTCTGAGCTGGGAGGCTGCACTGACTACGGCACAGAAATGGGAAGCATCGAAGAGGACTGAGCTGTGCAGCCGTGGCATCCAGAAGAGAACAGGGCGGGACAAGGCAGCTGGGAAAGAGAGTTCGGGGGAGGGAAGTCGGGCCTGATGGTGGACGCGCTCAGCTGGCACTGACCCGAGGCCTGGCCTCAGGGAGGAGCGAGTCTTCCTGGTGCCTGGCACAGTTCTAGGACCGGTATCAGGTGCTGGACGCGCAGACAACTGGACCCTGGTTTTCCCAGCTGGTGTTCATACCTTTTCTCCACTATTAAGTTTGGACTGGTTCTGTGTATTTTTCTAAATGAGGTGTTTGACTTACCGATGAAGAATTTTTTAGACACTTTAATAATACTACTCTTAGTAAGTTTTCTCTATTTGGACACATATACTTTTCAGAGTATTTTTATGCTATTCTCACAGTAATATAGTGGGCCAAATAGGCATATAACCCCTTTGTACATAAGGTATCAGAGGTTAAAGGGCTCGCTCAGCATCTCATACACTGGTGAGTAGCAGAATTGGGTCCAAAACAGACATTACCTGGCCTCAGACCCTGTACCTGCCAAGTTTCATTTCTGACGGGCTTTTCCTCTTGGACAGGCAGAGGAAGGACGAACTGGAGCAGAGAATGTCGGCTCTGCAGGAGAGCAGGCGGGAGCTGATGGTTCAGCTGGAGGGGCTCATGAAGCTGCTGAAGGTGAGAGCTGGCGCCCACTCGCAACCTCCTCCGGCCACTCGCTGTCTTCTCCCCCACCCACCTCCAGGGCATCTCGGGCCTCCCGCTCCCTGTGGTGTCAGAACAGGCGGAGGCTGCAGGCTGGCGTATAGCTGCCTAGACCCAGTTTCTAGGTAGACCTCCATCACGGCAGTCTAATTCGTTATGGCAGTAATCTGCAGGGGTATAAAGCCTGATTATAAAAGAAGAGATTCATAACTGGGACCAGAGTAATGTCTTTGAGTAGTTGCTTTTGTGGATCTTTATAAATAGGACATTAGCTATGTATAAATGAATATTTCCTAACTATTTGAACTTTCCTTTAAGACAAGCATTCAGAAATTCCACCTACAAGCATTATGTCCTTTTTAATCAGCATTGCTGAGGTGCACCAGTCATACCGAGCCAACTCTAATGGATAACTTTGCTGTATTAGAAGGAATAAAATAGCATGTTAGTTCTAGGTTCAGTATATTGGGCCTTGAATAAATCTGGGATACTTCAGATCCCACTATTTTTTGTTGTGAAATATATTCCAACCCCTACACTCAGGGCAGAGAAAGGCACGCTTGGCGTGTAAATGCCCTCCTCTGGACGACCTCATTAGCACCGAGCAGAAACGTTCGCCCAGCTGTGGAGCCGCAGTGCCGGAGCACGTCTGTTCCTGCCGTTGAGCCCTAAGGCCCCTGCTCTGAAACCACCGTCTGCCGAGACAGGACAGAGTCAGCAGCCGGAGCGGAAAACGGGGAAATGCGCAGTGCTGCAGGTGCCAGGCCGAGGGGCGGGTTTAACCCTGCGACAGAGGGGAGTCTCTGAAGGTGTTAGGAAAATACGCGGAGCGGGTAAGAAAAGGGCCTAAAGGGTGAAAGGTGGCCGGTGAAACCATCCAGGCCTGAAGTGACGAGGTGGCTGGGCCATAGCCCAAGAAGACGTCAACGTGGAAAACATCGACTCTCCTTCAAACCAGTTCCTCTGCTCTAAGCCCATTCTTTAAAAATGGAGCTGGTGGGCCTGGCACCTGGGGAAACGTGTTTTAAACTGACTTTTGACTTGCTCAAGACAGTCACTTCTTCCGGTCCTGAGCACAGCTTGTTCTCGCTTTGTCCTGGACGTTGGGGTTGTTTCGCCCGGATGCACGGCTCTACACTGACCCCGTCTGCAGGACTTCTTCTGAGAGATGTTTAGAGTCTTAGTGGGTCTTGTTTGAAGGAAACCTTGTGTGTAAGACCTGGCCCAGATCCCTCCTGGAACTGTCACGTGTCGGCCTAAGCAGCCTGTCAGCCGCTCAGTGCCTGCGGCCTTCTGGGGCTCCGGAAGCCCGGCTGTTGGGAGGTTGGCCCGCCAGCGGGCCAGAAATGACGGGGGACCCACGCACTCCTCCCCTGTGTCTCAACTCCCTCTCAGAAGATTCTCCCAAACATTACCCGGACACAGATGGAAAGGTGCCCCGGGCTCATTTTTGTGAAAAGTTTAGGATAATTAAAGGAAGTGAGAATTTCCTCTCACTACTGCTGCGCTTTCCCGTCAGCTGGTTGCCTTAGGACTGGGCTCAGAGCTGTGTGTGCCTTGCTGTGACCTCATAGTTCAACCCTGATGCGGGTCGTCAGGGGTGAGCGAATGTGCTGAGGCCTGGAACTCTGATCCCAGACCCCGAGGTTCTTGCATTTCTAGCTGTTGTCTTGCGGTTACAGTTTCGGTAAAAGAAGCAGGGGACTGCTGCCCCATTCTGTGGGACCCCATCTGGATTCCTAATCAGAAACAGTACCCAGCCACCTGACAGGTGGAGGCCACGCAGGCGGGGAGGAAGGATTTACGGGCTCCCCCAGGGATGTAGTCTCCTTTTCCACTGACGAGCGCTCACAGTTGAAATCTCATTCCTTTCCTGTCCACTTCCTAAAAGGATTCCAATCTTAATTTGTGTATTAGGTGCATGCCTAAAGGGTCAGCCCTACATAGGAATCACTGACTTCTATTGAAATTTCAATGATGTTTTCCTACTATTAAAAATATATACATTCACCAACACATGGTAAGAGTACCCTTTGGCATTCCCCTGATTTTTCTTTCAAACGACTGTCCTGCTTCCCCGATGTTCCGTCTGCTAGCGTTTAACCCTCTCCCAGAGCAGCTGGGAGCAGCGAGTCAGACGGACGGACAGTCAGGCCCGTGGTCGGGGATGCTCGTGAACCAGAACGTGCAACACGTCACGTTTCCGTTCCACCGGGTGTTCTGTCGTTTCCCTGCTTCAGTGGAACATCACGTCCTTTGTCTGTTTATCTGAAAGTAACTGCAAGAAGCATGCATATGAGGTGCCACCGTTGTTTATGAATTCACTAAACAAAAACCATAAACCCTTTTTTGGGGGGGTGGGAAACAAGGTTGGGTAAAAATTAATCATACCTTTGACAAAAAAGCATTGAATTCCTAAGTGTCCTGTGTAGATACTTGGCATGTAAGGGTGAGTGAGACTCCATTCCTGTCGCCAAGGAGCGTCAGGGGCCTCAGTGCTTTGTTCCTGATGACGACGCAGGCTGACACTCAGGCCCCCCGTTTCAGAGCACCTGCCGTGTTCCCCTGATTAATGAGTATGTGGGTGGCTCTGCCTCCCACTTCTTATTTACTCTAGAAATGGTTATGTGCTGGTATTTCAGTTTCTGAATTATGTTCCCAATATTTTTCTACATCATTTTCCATTTTCCCATTATTGCTTTGGAAACACATTTACCAGATGAATCGTGCAGTTTGGAATTTCAACGTCGTTTGCAAATCAGGCGCCAACATAAATTTTTAGGTCCATGACTGTGGCAGCGACTGTGGCATTGATCTGGGCACCTGGCCAGGCGTGCCCTGTGTGCAAGAGTCCCTCGCACTGTAGGTGACACAGCAGTTCCGGATTTGCACTGTATCATTGAGGTAGTGTTGCCCCCTTTAAATCAAGTTGGCCCCTGTGCCCTGTTCAGCCAGTGTTTACCGACCCTAACTGACCAGTTGATAACAGGAATGTTCTAAGACCTTCCATCTGGCCTGTTTTCTGTGTTGACAGAGCCTTCAAGGCTTTATTTGAATGACTTTTGTGAGTATAAATTATACAGCATCATCCTCGGTAACACTTTGCCATGGTCCACCCTCTTCCAGTCCCGGTGCTCGAGGAGGCCTCTGAGTCCTGAAGGTGCTGCCCTGTGCACCTCCATCCCCACCCGACACCTGGGTCTGGTGCAGGCTTCATGGTTTCACATCTGGACAGACTAGGTACAAGTCACCGGGTCTGCAGACAAATGTGCAGCAGCGCGTTTTGGAACTTCCCTGTTCTGTTGAACCAAAGCAAGGTTTTCTCCAGTCCCACCCCCTGGAGAAAACAGAATGGGAGGTGTCCTAGGGTCAGTTCTAAGGAATTAGATGTTGGTCTTTTGACCTCAGATGTGATCTCAGCCTATCAGGATTGCCACATCCCTCCCTTACCATTTCAATTTGCTTTGCAACACTTAGTGCCAGCAAACAAAACAAAAAACAAAAAAAAAACCCACCCACGTTTCTACATTGTTTCATAGCTCTACTAGGACTGTTGTCCTTACCAGTGAATGGAAGAAGAGTGTTCTGTCCTACAGGGAAGCCTGGCTGGGAAGGGAGATGGCTTCCCAACTGCAAAACCCTATCCCCTTCTAACCAGAGCCAGGAGTGCCGGATGCAAAAGACCCTGACTCCTCAGGGTAACTCAGCTCCCCGCCAGGGCCCACTCCGCCTGGGCTCCCAGGAGCGTAGGTTTGGCCAGGCATCTTGCAGCTGGCTTTCATTGTGAGAACATCTTCCTGGGCTGACTTGGAAATTTTTAGTGACCCTTTTGTTTCTAGAAATCCATGTCTCTCCCGTACAGAAATAAAATATTTTCTCCAGATTTTTACTACCTCTCTCCCTTTCGTAACTGCTTGGCTTTCCTGAAGCCATCCTTGCCACTGCACGCTGATGTGCGCACTGAGAAGCCCTCGTTCTTCCCTGAGACACTCACACACACGGTCATTTAAGCGGAGCCATTGCAACAGCGTGTAGATGCGTGTGCTTGGGGCAAAGAGCAGAGGCTTCCTGACCGCAGTTAACCATGACGAGGCACCGAAAGGAAGCAAAGATGCCCGTTAAAAGAGAGTGGCTGAGGAACAGCGGACAGGACGAGGGGAGGAAAGCTAGGACGTGCGATCGCTCTCCGCTATGCTGTTCTCACCAGCGCCTGGGGGTGCGGACTGCACCCCATCTTTGTGAGGCTCTGAAGGTGGAGACCATCTTGTGTTTTCCAGAACTTTACAAGTTAGAAATACTAAATAAACCCACATGACTTAATGAAAAAGTGAGGTCTCTCAGGGCCCTGAAGCAGTTTCGAGTTTACTGGGGGAAATGCTGTGTTCTTCGGGAAAACCAAAGCCACCCGAGTGCAGGCGGAGGGGAGGGCCCTGATTCAGAGATGAGTCCTGCACACGTGGATTGCTGGCGGGGAAGTTGCTGGCAGGGGGGGGGGGTGTCCCCCGAGCAGTGGTTCTCAAACTGACAGTCATCGGGATTGGCTGAAAGGCTCATTGAGTACATGGCTGTGCCCCATCCTGAAAGTTTTGTTCCAGTTTGTGAGGGGTGGGGTCCAAAATCTGCATCTCTGACAGGTTTTCAGGTGCTGCTGCTGGCACTGGTCTCTCTGTTTCACACTTTGAGGACCACTGCCCGGATAAATGTGCCTGAACTGCTATGAATATTGTGAATACTGAAACGGGTTTTGGGCTTTCTGAGTCATAGTTGAGCCCCTTCTTTGGGGTTTCTTCGGGTGGTTATATGCTGGGAAAGTTAGATGCTCTGAGCCTTTCTGATGCATCATGTGATGACGTTGGACCAGGTGGTTTTTAAGGTTCTTTCCTTGCAAGCCCAGATGTCAGTGCTCAATGAACCAGGCGGGGCAGAGGCCAGCTGTTTGCTCTGCTCCATGGTGCTCTGGGCTTCGATCTCTGAACCCACAGGCCTGGCCTGATTTGCCCTGTTTTTCTGTCGTTTCTTCCAAGTGTCTGTGCTAATGGGCATTAACCTCTCTCGTTTTTCCCTCTGCCTTTTTGTTTTGTTTTGTTTTGTTTTCACCACCTCTAGGAGGAAGAGCAAAAGCAGGCAGTAAGTGAACTTCAGAATTCTCCACCTGGTTCTTGCTCGTTTTGCATGTTCTTTTCCTCATGTTAGTACTTTCTTACTTTCTCCTCTCCTCCCCGCACAAGGTCATCCCTGCAGAACTATGTGTGAAACCCTTAGCAGTTCTCTCCATGGTGTTGTAAAGTGGCCTAAAAGTCCCCATCATGTTACCTGGTAGAGCATGTTCTTACTTGAAACCAGAGCTTCAATAGTGCACATCTGCCGTGTTTATTTGAGTATGCATGGTTATGCAGGCTACAATTGCATTTTCCTGCCCTTGCTTTCTCTGCTGCTTCCTGTCTAGAGTGACATTAATTGCTTGAAACAGTGCTTGGAGGGGTGGGGGTGACCTCAGGTCTAAATACTCTGTTCTGAATGATGGCGCATGAAAATGGGTTGTTCTTCTGATAACTTCAGATGTCTTTTAGTCCTGGACAGGCTCTGGATGCTGCAACTCCAGCTGCCTTCTTAACAAAGTTACAAAGTTAACAAAATGAGAACTGAGCGACTGATGATGCTGTGATTTCCTGTTGAGAGCCTGACCAGAGGGAGCTCTGGTTTGTCTGGGCAGCGAGGCTGTTGCATGGTGTTTAGGGAAGGTTTATGTGTGTTTTTATTTATCCCGATAGCTACTAACACATACAAAAAAAATCAATTGAGGGCCTGTCCCCAATGGTAATACCATCTGTTTATATAGCATAGGGAGGTTCCCAAAGCATGCATCTTTCAGATGAGCTAAAGCTGACATTTAATTACCCTCAGGGCTGTTTTGGAAAAAAAATTTTAAACATACTTTTGTATTTTCTTTAAAAGCTGTAGGAAATCTTATGAACAAATTCTATTTTCTAGTACCCTTTACATTTTTCCTCTGAAATAAACTATGCAAAAAAATGCAATAAAATATGCAATTAGGGAAATTTGTAGTTCTGTTTCATTACATAAATATTTTTTTAAATAGATTTTATTGATTATGCTATTACAATCGTCCCATTTTTTTCTCTCCCCTTTATTTTTCTCTACCCTGTACCCCCTCTCACCAGCATTCTCCTGCCTTAGTTCATGTCCATGGATTGTGCATATAAGTTCTTTGGCTTCTTCATTTCTCATACCATTACTAACCTCCCCCTATCTATTTTCTACCTACCAATTATGCTTCTTATTCCCTGTACCTTTCCCCCCACTTTCCTTCCTCCCCTCCCCCCCCTCCCCACTGATCTCCATTTCTGTGATTCTGTTCCTGTTGTAGTCGTTTGCTTCATTCGTTTTTGTTTTTGGTTTTGTTTTTTAGGTTAGGTTGTTAGTTGTTGTGATTTTGTTGTTGTTTTACTATTCATATTTTTTCTCTTCTTCTTAGGTAAGTCCCTTTAATGTTCATATAATAAGGGCTTGGTGATGATGAACTCCTTTAACTTGACCTTATCTGGGAAGCACTTTATCTGCCCTTCCATTCTAAGTGATAGTTTTGCTGGATAGAGTCATCTTGGATGTAGGTCCTTGCCTTTCATGACTTGGAATTCTTTCCAGCCCCTTCTTGCCTGCAAGATTTCTTTTGAGAAATCAGCTGATAGCCTTATGGGAACTCCTTTGTAGCTAACTATCCCTTTCCTCCTGCTGCTTTTAAGATTCTCTCCTTCTCTTTAATCTTGGCTAATGTAATGATGATGTGCCTTGGTGTGTGCTTCCTTGGGTCCAACTTCTTTGGGACTCTCTGAGCTTCCTGGACTTCCTGGAAGTCTATTTCCTTTGCTAGATTGGGGAAGTTCTCCTTAATTATTTTTTTTCAAATAAGTTTCAATTTCTTGCTCTTCCTCTTCTCTTTCTGGCACCCCCGTGACTCAGATGTTGGAACATTTCATGTTGTACCAAAGGTTCCTAAGCCTCTCCTCCTTTTTTTTTTTGATTCTTGTTTCTTCATTCTGTTCTGGTAGAATGTGTATTTCTTCCTTCTACTCCAAACTGTTGATTTGAGTCCCAATTTCCTTCCCATCACTATCGGTTCCCTGTACATTTTCCTTTATTTCACTTTGGATAGCCTTCACTTTTTCCTTTAATTTACAACCATACTCAGCCATTTCTGTGAGCATCCTGATTACCAGCATTTTGAACTCTGCATCTGATTGGTTGGCTACCTCTTCATTGCTTAGTTGTATTTTTTCTGGAGCTTTGGGCCATATTGTTTCATTTAGGTGCACCTGTTACATAGTAACCATCTCCGCCCCTCCTACCGGCCTGCATGAATGTTTCTTCTTTGACTCCTTGGTTGTTGGACTTCCATACAGTTCAATTTTCTGGCTGTTTTGATTTTTTGTTGTTGTTTTTAAATTTGTTGTCTTTCTTTTGGTTGTGTGAGGAGGCAGAGTATATCTACTTATGCCTCCATCTTGGCCGGAAGTCTGGGGCTTTTCTTTTTAAGGAAGGAAATAGGAAATGTTAATTCAAAAAGTTAATTATGTCTTTTGCACAGAATAAATTTATCTGTTTCAGATTAAGAATGGGAATTACATTTATTGTAATTTCCAGTTAGGAGAGCAATGGAATCAGAGTAAAGGGGAGAAGAAAGGAAGCAGGAGAGGGTTAGTGAAAGGAGGAGGCAAGATAGGAGTGACAGACTGTGAGAAAGGGGGCGGGAAGAGGGAGCGTGGCGTTAGAGGAGGCAGGCAACCCAGAATCTCAGTGGCTTTAATGTAAAGTTTGCTTTCTTCATCCACACGGAGTTTATTGCTTTGATCTGTGGCACTTCCGTATCAATAGATACGCTGACACAGGCAAAGCGGAAGACCAGGATGGCCAGTGAAGTGCTGCAATTTAATGCGTCTACCAGGAAGTGACACACATCACATCTGCTCTACTTCATTGGCCAAAGCAAGTCACATGACCATACTTCACCTCCAGTTTGCTCAGCAGGAGCAGAGAAGCAGATACCAGTAATATGTAGGTGTAAAGTGGGAAGTCTGTCCTTCTTGCTTCCTTCTCCGCTCCGTCCCTGACAGTCTCATCCCCTTGCTGTCGACTGTACTTTTCCTGCTGACCCAGCGCATCACCCCACCTGGGGTTGCTGACCCCCCGTGTTCTCCTTCTCTTCACCCTCGTACACCCCAGAGACACACTCCACAGTCAGAAACCACTTGCTGAGAATGTCCCAGCAATCCACCCAGACTTGTACCTACTGACCCCTCTCTAAATGTGCCCACTCAAGAGTGAAGCATGCACTGGGAACTCCCTACACCTTCCTGAGAACTCTCTAGCAAAAGGGGGCAGACATTGTGGGCATTTATTTTTGGCAGCAGTAGAACCTCAATAGACATTTCTAGACAGATTTATTTTTAAATCTATGGATTATTGTGTAATCCAAGAACTAGAAATTACCCCTGCTGGTGTATTACTTCTCAGGTCAATTTAAAGCTAACCTTGGGCCAACAAGGGAATAAATTAATATGTTAATTTCACCAACTTTGATTCGTGCACGATCATCACTCTCTTGAAGTTGACAAAATGAGAAGCCAGACCCAGGCTGCTGAAGCCTACAGTCAAACGTTCGCCCGTTGCCGCATTTTGGGATCTCTCTTGTTACTTGAGTCAGTGGGATATTAAGTGGGATCCTGCCCTTTCTGATTCCCAGAACCAAGAAGATAACTCTCTGCTTCTACCCCAGAGAAGGCATGGTGTGGGCTGGCCCTCTCTGACCACAACCCGCCAAATATGCCTGAAGGAAGGGCGTTCAGTGTTTATTTAGTTAGCCAGGGTGGACCCCTGAGGACTCCAGCAAACCTCATGAGGATTAACTTTGTAAATTTTAAGAGAAAGTACTTTTAAAAAATACATAACAACAAATGAAAACCACCTCTGTCCATTAAAAAGATTATTGGCAAACCTCTTGATGTGCTCATGGGTCATTTCCCCTCTTGGTCACTTAACCTTTGGACGCAATCTCACTGGGAAGTGATTTGCATGCCTCTGAAATCTTCGGGACTCTCCCCCACCCGCCCCACCCCCGACCCCATGCTCTGAAACGGAAGCCTGCAACTGCTGGCTCCCTCAGAGGCAGAGGGTTGCCATTTATTTATTTATTCAGCAGTGTCTTACTACCCATGTTCAAGGCAGTGAGCCTGGCCTTTTGGAAGACAAAAAGAAAAATTCTACATGAATCCCACCTTCAAATAGCATGAAAGTTATTTCGTGTTTGGCATGATGCCCTAAACACAGAAACCCAAGCCAGGTCAGTGACATCTGAACCTTCGGCACCACTGCTGCCCTCCTGAGTTTGCAGACGGCCCAGGCGTCTCAGGGAAGGGGGACCATTGTGCTGGCGTGCGTAGTTCTGCCATGGCCTGCGTGGCTCTGCTGTGGCTCTGCCGTGGCCCTGCCGTGGCCTGAGGCCTGGGCGCCGTCCTTGTCTGCGTGCGCTGACTCCACAGCCTCTGCACTCTGTCGGCCTCGTCAAGGTCCACCTGGGTGCTCGCTTCTCATCTTGGCTTTCACACTCACTACAGGGACCTGGCACCTTGCCGGTTGGGGTTTTTGTGTCATTTTTCCCCACAAGAGGAAATGCCATTTCAATATTTAAAAATAGGCATTTGTGTTTCACTCCCCCTGCAAACTCCCTGAACACCCATAAGGAGTTGGCAGCCTTGAGGATACAGGGGAAACAGCGTTGGGTCTTCACAGTGCTCCCAGTGTTTGTCTTCAGTCTCATCTGTGACAAGCTGGTAGAGGTGCTCGCCTGCTTTTATTTCCCTCCTGTGCTGTACTTGTCTGTTCCTCTCCTGACCAGAGTGCAGGCAGCCTATGGAAAGGGTCTGCCCAGGAGTCCGGGAAAAGCCTACACACCAGGCTGGAGAAATTTGCCTTCTGCTGGGGGAATACTGGATTCCTAGGACCACCATAGGTCCCCCCAGAACACTCCAGTCTGAGTCTCAGCAGAGCATCAACAGGAAAGAATGAGTGAAAGATGACTTCTAGGTTTTGAGCCTGAGAACCTGGGAAAA